TAAATTGAAACAGTAACCTCCACATAACAACCATTAATCCCGATTCCAACCACCACTTAAACAGTACAAAGAAAACCCAGCCACCACTGCAACATAAACAAGAAAACCCAGTCGTAGAGTTGACGCCGGCGCCATTTCAGGTGATGTGAAAGTGAAGGTGGTGGTTTGAAGAAGCAGAGAAAAAAAAATATATAAAAAACGAAAAGAAAAATCAAAATATAAAAACATAGAAAGAAGAAGAAGCATATAAATGGTGGGTTGGGTTCATCGGAGGATGAGGGGGGATGAGGTTAGTTGGGTCTGGGGATGGCGGTGGTGCTGCTGGGTTTGGAGGTGGGGTGGGTGATGGATGGGATGAGATAGGGATTAATGGTGGGTTGGGATTTTTTGGTTTTTTATTCTTTAAAAAAAATGACATGTCATGTCAACACTTATTCTTTAATATTTATTTAATAAATAAATTTTTAATAATTTGTTGGCCGAATTGCCCCTCCAAAATTAACAGAAGCTAAATAAATTTGACAGAAATTGAGGATTGTCCTTAAATTGCTTCAAATTAAAATTACAAGGATAAAATTGACTAAATTGAAATGACATGGACCAAAGTGGTAAAAGTGACAAACTACAGAGATCAAAGTGACTTTTTTTAGGTGAGACCCAAGGGTATCCACCGCCGACAGCAGTGACTAATCCCTTTCGCTGCGGGAGCTCTCCCAATGGAGGTAAACGGCTGGCCACGAAATGCGCTCCATTATCAAAGTGACTTTTTGCATAACAAAGATGAGGTTGATTTCTTTGGTGGATCTTGGCTCTGATGAATCTGGAGGAATTCCTTACAGTCTTATCAGAGATACACTTCGGGTTAGATTGGTTTACCTTTCTGGTTCTAAAGGTTTTCCATTCACGCCTTGGTTAATTATATGCTTATGCACGTGTTTTTGGCAGATTACTGATGAGGAAGTCGAACTTTGGGTGGTCAAAGCGATAACTGCTAAGTTAATGGACTGTAAAATGGACCAGATGAATCAAGTGGTGATTGTGAGGTAAGTTTGTGTTTCATACCTTGTGCGCACACACAAACAAACATATATTTATTTATTCATTCTTTTTTGCTTCTTTGTTCTTGAACTGATTTAGCCTTTGATCTGCAGCCGCTGTACTGAGAGAGTATTTGGGCAGCAACAATGGCTTACACTTAGATCAAAGTTAGCAACTTGGAGGGTAAGTAACTGCCTGCATCTAGTGCTTCATGCTTTATTTTTCATTCTTGTTTAAGAATTGCCAAAGAAACGAGAATTGATTCATTGTACTGTATGAAGACCCACTCTTTTTGTTGCGCTGTCCATAAATCTCATTATTGAATTTGTATATTGACAAAGTTCTCATTGGCAGGGTAATGTTGCAAATGTTATCAGCACAATTCGAGCTAACAGGATAGCTGAAGATGGCTCGCAGGCAGTGCAAGGCTGACTTATGAAAGCTTGAAGTAGTATTTATGATTCCCAATTATTTTCCCTTTTGGACTTTGGATCCAAATGTTTTGGAAATTTTGACAGGAAAAAAGGTCTCTTGTTATTTACAAATCTTATGATTGTACGCTTGGTAAATGATGAATGACTGCTTATATATCATCAGCAACTTATGTTGCGTTTGACAGGAAAACTCTCTTCTTCTGAAATTCGAATATGTTGGTGATGAATAATATAATTATGCCAATTATTTTCCTAATAACAAATTTTGTTTTATGTAATTTTTCTTGATTTTTCAAGGTTTTTCATTTTCTCTGAACTGAAAAGTATAAAATGATGTTGATATAAACGCCCTTCTTATTTCGTTTGATTTGAACCTTATTTTCTTAATTAAAACTAGGCTTGGGATCTTGGAGTTGGAGGGTGGATCTTCTTCTCCTTGCGGTTCTTATAACGCAGCCGTCGTGATAAGATAGAGACTTGAGTTAGTTACTTGATAGCGGAATGACTGTCTCGTTTCATATTTTCCATGATTTCAGCTAAATGACACAAAAGGCTTCCAGAATGCAGCCAGGAAAAAAGATTTAGAGAAAGAAAAAAAAAACACCATGAATGGATTAAAAAATGTTTCAAATAGCGTGAGTCACTACACGTAATTTCTTAATTTGCATTCAATATTATTGGTTTCAAATACTACTACATTTCTTGGGTAATTCAAAAATGTTGCCCATTATCTCCCATTTGGATCATTGATCTCAGAAAAGATCGTCTCAGATATACATTGAATGGATTCATTTGTAGCGCAACCTGGCTCAACACTTCTAATTTCTGCAGCTCTGTCATTGTTGAAGGCAACCTCATTGCTCCTTTCAACGCCGTTGCGATGGAGCTTCAATGCAAGCTCAAGTCCCTTCACAACGTCATTCATTGACGGTCGTTCGATTCCACTGTCATTCATGCAACTCATAGCGATCTCAACGAACTTATTCAGAGACTGGATTTCAATCTCACCCCTAATGCTTGGATCAATAATTTGATCAAGTTCCCCATCGCGATGACAGCTCTTGGCCCACTCAGCCAAATTTATTTGCCTCAGCTCCACATTATGCATCACAGCCGGCCTTGCACACAGTACCTCACACAACACTACACCAAATGAATACACGTCTGACTTCTCAGTTAGCCGTTGACGTTTGTAGTATTCGGGGTCCAAATACCCAAAGCTGCCTTTCACAATCGTACTAATGTGGGTCTTGGACGTGTTGATTGTGCTCATTTTTGACAATCCAAAGTCTGAAATTTTGGCCACCCATTTCTCATTCAATAAAATGTTTGTGCTCTTCACGTCACGGTGGATGATGGTACCCTTGGTGCCGCTGTGAAGGTAGTGCAAACCTATTGCAGCGCCGATACAAATTTGGAGACGCTGATCCCAAGAAAGAGGGGGGTTGTCAGTGTGGTAGAGATGGCTGGCAAGGGTCCCACGTGACATGTAATCGTACACCAAGACCATCTCATTGCCGTCCTTACAATATCCGATGAGAGACACCAAATGGCGGTGGCGGAACTGAGAGAGCAGCTCGATTTCCGTCTTGAACTCGTGGGCGCCTTGTGATGACTCAGATTTTAGCCGTTTGATTGCAACACGAGTGGCCCCATAATCAATGCATCCTTTGTACACGTTACCAAACCCTCCAACTCCAATAATAAAACTGTCATCGAAGTTTCGAGTGGCGGCTTTGATCTCAGCCAGTGCAAAGTAACGACACAAATAAGACGGTCCATATGTTCTGTGGGTCGCCGGAAAAGAAAATGGACCCCAATTCATTCCCTGGTTGGAGCTCGTGTCCTTGTTTTTCCTTCCTCGCCTGAACACCAAGAAAAACCCGAGAACAGAGCCTAAAACAAGCACGCCGGAAACTAGACCAGCAATGATAGCAATTAGAGAAGTTGAACTCTTATTCGAAAATTTACGGCTTTGCGGTGGAGCTATCACTCGTGGGGTTATTGGAAGAGGTGGGTCGGGATTGGGTCCGGCAAGATTCCCATTTTTGTCACTGAGTTTGAAGATCTCGAGCCCATTCAAGATTGCATCGTTGAAGTTGGTCATAAAATCGTTTGGGTTTGCTTGCAGTGCGAGAAAGAGATTAACTTTCTTCTGGCTTGCAGGGCCTGTAGAATAAATCAAAAACTCACGGCAGCTAACTCAAGACAAGCAAACCAAATAACACAGCAAGCAAGTAAAAACTCACAG